ACTCAGTTTTGCTTGCCTTTATATCTAAGAGCTAAACATAGAGAAACTTTACTAGATCTAAATTATTTTCTTTATTTTTTTTTTTTAGTTTTTTAGTAGTAGTATTTGCTTTTTATTTTGTTTGGGCAATGAAATTAAGCAAAAAGATTGAAAGCATTTTACAGACAGTCAAGGCAGACAGAATGTGTTCTGGGGTGGGTGGGGTAAGAGGTGTTTGAAAGGTATTTGGCATAGGCTGAACGAAGCGAAACTTAGAAGGAGAAAGCTGGAAAAACGAGTGCTGCTCTGCCCAAAAGCGCGGCATGTGAAAATGCTTAGCGTGTGGCAAATGTGGCAAATGTGGCATATGTGGCGTATGTGTCGATTGGGTGAGTTTTTCGAAAAGAAAACGGGAGCGTGTTCGGCTTAGAATTCGAATAGATATTTGTTGATAAATAAGTAATAGATACAAATATATATATATTTAAGTATATATAAAATGTGTGGAAAGCGGCACAACAGAAAGAGTAATAAATAAATAAAAAGAACAAGAGATAAGTGAATATACCAAAATAAATACCAACACACAATAAATTATGTTTTTGTTTCTGTTTCGTAAGGTTCAAACTATATTTGAAATCAAACACACACGATATTTTGTTTGCTTTTGTAAAAATCAACATTAATCAATGAACTATCGACAACTAAATATTAGAATTAGTGGCAAACATTAAAAATTGTCATTAAACATTAGAAATATTGTAAAGATTTAAACGAATTTTACAGAGATTATATAAGTATATATGTATAATTTTAGTCAATAAAAATAATAATAATAATAGTCATAATAATAATAAGAGTTCGAATTTATCAACTTCAGTGGCTAACAACTTAAGGTGCGCAAGTCTGTGGCAATATTTTTTTTTTTGTTTTTTGTAATTTTTCATATTTTTTTCGCTTTTTTTTTTTTGTAAGTATTTTCGTAATTCTAAACCGGGATAAAACACATAAAAATATAGACTACATATTGAACTTGTATAATTGTCAGTACATAAATTAAATAACGTAAACATTACATTGAGGAAAAAAAAAACATAATAATTATGAAAAATCACACGAGATCTAAGATTAAAACATAGTTCAGTTGTCATTGAATTTATTATTTTTTTTTATAAACATACATCATGTATACATAACGTGTATGTAAATTGTTGAAATATATCAAAGAAATATGTATAATACATCGAGAGCAAGATATAGTTAGATAGACAGAGATAGATAGCGAGTGAGAGAGAAATATGTATATAGGAAAAAACGAAAAGTTTACATAGTTTGTTTTTCATTATTCTCTTTTAATTGTCAACATAGGAGTCAAATCTTGAACATAACATTAACATAACATAACATAACATAATTATGATGGCTTAACAGTTTCAAAGATGATTTCAGGTGTGACAATGTCTGTGTGTGTGTATGTGTGGGGGTGGATGTGTATATCGCAAAGAGAGAGGGCGATCGACGTGAATGTGATGATGAGTTCAGATATTGATTTTCAATTGGTTTATTGATTAGTAAGAGCGCTTTATAGCTAGCATGTACGATAATGCGTGTGTGTGTGTGTATGTGTGTGTGGGTGTATGTATGGGTATATGATGGCTAAACGATATACAGTTCGAACTTCGTTATGTTCTAAGAGTGTGGATCGGGTGTTCAGGTATGGGAATTTTCGGATCTTGTGAGTGTTTGTGCTAGAGTACATAGTGTCAATGTTTATATAACGTATATATATATAGATATATTTAAGTATATGTATATATTAGCAGCATACAGCATTTATAGTATTTATGTGTTATATAGGTATATTTCTATAACTAGGCAATATTCGTTACGCATGTTCGTTGCTCAACAATTTTAAACAATTAAAATTACAACAGCATTCACGAAAGCTAACTAACTAGCTAACTGTTTATAGGTAGAAGAGGCAGCTAGAGAGAGAGCAACTGATTGAGAGTGACAGAGTCAGAAATACAGAGAGAGAGAGAGAGAGACACAGAAGAGAGGTAGAGAGCATTTGAAACAATTTGTTTGGCATTAAAGCATTCGCAGACCAACAACATGCGCAGACACAACTGTACCCAGCAGCAGCATCTGGCTGGGGGATTACTCTTTTTATATGGCATATTTTGATAGGAACGATTAACTGACTCGCATTCCAGGGCAAGGTGTGTGAAGCTTTCTTGTGTATGTGTGCGTGTTTGTGTGCGTGTGCAAAGCTATCACAGTACTTCGTTATACCAAGTTGCAGTTACCGTTACCAATTCCATTTCCGTTTCCGATTCCGTTTCCGTTACCGATTCTATTTATATTTTGAATGCTCATTTTAAGGCTATCAAAAAGGAACTTAACTTAAAAGACTACGTATTAAAAAGGCTGTTTTGTATGTTCTTGCTTTAAAAGCTTCGTTCTTAGTTAGACTATGCTATGCTATGAAAATGGCAACAGCTCAAGTCACAGTGAGGTTAAGTTTTGTTGCGTCTAATTTAAAATTATAAACTTGATATCATAAATAATCTAAGGAAAATGTAGCTCGAGCATTCTGTGTGTGGGTGTAAGCGGGGCAAGAAGATCGCGTCGAGGGCAAGCTTTTACAGCGTATGGGACTTTATGAAAGCTCATTGAAAGCGCACGAAAGCTTTTTGGTTCGCTTCAAGTGTATTGCAAAAGCTGTGGATGCTTAAGCTTTAAGCAGCTTTACGCACATTTAGGCAGGATCCTTCGATTCTGTCTGTAAGTGTGTGTGTGTGTGTGTGTGTGAGTGAATTTCGGATTTGTCATGGTGCAATTTGTTTAGAATACAAAAAAGGGACGCCTTTCGACACTCTAAATATAATGCTATGCTATTACGAGACCTAGTGTATAAATTAAGTTAAAACTGAGGCACATAATCTTACGTCTTCGATGAGTACTACGTACTAAATAGTTACTGCTACAAATAACTGGACCAACACGTTCATTAAGTACAGTTGCGTTCGAGTCTCTGTGTGTTTGTGTGGGTGTGTGTGGGCGTGTATGCGTGTGACTGCCTACTTAAGAGGTCTTCATCTTCTTGTAGGGATTCAGTACCATGGCCGTGCCAGGTGCTGCGCCCTGAGCAGCTGCTGCTGCGGCCGCTGCTGCTGCGTATTGCTGAGCGGCGGCGGCTGCTTGGCTGCTGGGCATGGCGTAGGCGTACCCACTGCCAGCGGCCGTGGGCGTGGCAGCCATAACCCCCGGATAAAAGTAGCCCTGGGCAGCAGCTGCTGCGGCATACTGCTGCGGACTGGCCGCCATGGGCATGGGCGCCGCAGCGCTCGGTGCACGGAGCAGCGCAGCCGAGGCGCCGGGCAGATAGCCAGCGGCTGAGGGAGCGCGCACCGGAGTGCCGGGTGCCACGGGCGTGGACAGCCCAGAGCTGGGCAGGGAGCCGTATTGACGCAACTGCGCCTGAGCTTGAGCCTGGGCCTGGGCCTGAGCCTGAGCCTGCACTTGGGCCTGGGCCTGTGCCTGCATCTGCAGCAGCGTGGCCATGGACACAGGCTGAGCCTGTTGCTGTTGGGGCTGTGGCACGGGCTGCGGTGGCGCCGCAGCTGCAACAAAGCTCTTGTTGAGCGTCATGCCGGTGTAGGCGGCTGCCGAGGCAGCAGAGACGGGCTTGGCCGCCGCATTGGCCACCTTCAGGGCGTAGTTCTTCTGGGCCACCTCCTTGGCCAATGCAGCGGGATCGGCATAGTAACCGGCAGCGGGACTGAGGCCAGAGGCTGCGGCATAGGCGGCGTACGCCTGCTGAGCATAGGCAGCCTGAGCCTGAGCCTGCGCTTGAGCTTGAGCCTGAGCCTGAGCCTGGGCTTGCACCTGGGCAACCTGTTGCTGCTGGTGCTGTTGCTGCTGCTGCTGCTGCTGTTGTTGCTGATGTGCCTGCACATAGCTGCTCTGCACCGAGCCGCTGGCCATGCTGACAATGGGCGTGGCACTCGAATAGCCGCTATACAGATTGGCATAGCTATAGGCGGGCATGGCGTAGCTGATGCGCTGATACTGCTGCACCGCCGGAGCCACCGAGACGGGACAACTGTTGCTGCCGTTGCTCACATGACTAGTGCTGCTGGTGGAGGTGGGCGTGGGCAGAATGCCGCTGCTGTGGCCATTGTGATAGCGCTGATAGGCATCGCTGCCATTCTGCTTGATCGCATAGCTGCGCTGAGGCGGTGCCTGGATGTAGGCGGGCGTAGCGGAAACGGAATCGGTATCGACTGTTGCTGCTGCTGCTGCTGCTGTAGTTGCAGTTGTGTTGGCGGCAACTGTTGCTGCTGCTGTGCCATTGTCTGCCTCACTGGACAGCTCGTCGCCATTCAATGATTTATTCAAATTGTTATTAATATATGACAAATAGTTGTTATTATCGCCATTGGCCAGGGTCAAGGGTTCAAGTGCTGTCTCTGTGTTGGGGGGGCTAGCGCTGCCGTTAGTTGTTGCTGCTGTGTCAGTTGTTGTTGCTGCTGCTGCTGCTGCTGCAGCTGTTGTTGTTGCTGTTTGTGTGGTATCATTAGCTGTATCAGTGTCTGCTGCTGTTGTTGTAATTGTTTGTGTTGTATTACAATCGTTAGCAGTGTTTGTTGTGGCTGTTGTTGTGTTGGTTTGTGCTGTTGCTGTTGGTGTAGTTGGTGTTGTTGTTGTTGTGTCATTATTTTCTTGATCATGATTTGCATCAGAATCGTTAGCTAGCGCTTGGTTATCATGATTATTAATATGATTAGTAGCTGTTGTTGTTGTTGGTGGTGGTGGTGGTTGTGTTGGTGTTGATGTGTCTGTGTATGTGTTTGTGTTTGTATTGGTATTGGTAGTCATAGCAGTTACAGTTACAGCATTATTATTATTATTACTGGCTGTTGTTGCTGCTGTTGTTGTTGTTGTTGTTGTTATGGCGCTACATATTGGTTGTTGTTGTTGTTGTTGTTGATGTTGTTGTTGTGGGGGATACTCACATGACACTGGCACGTAGGGCTGCATTAATTGTTGATAGGTTGTCGCACCGGGTTGATACACTGGAATGCCAGACTTTTCGGCAGCTGGACGTTTAAACGGTACCATGCCAGAGAATTGCTATTGCGAAAAGAGACAGCGAGAGAGAGAGAGAGAGAGCAGACAGGGAAGAGAACATAGAATACAAAAAATTAATTAGTATAAACATTGTCAATCACTCAACAAATTCATCTTCAGCTTAAACTAATTGCACTCTAACCATACATATGTTGAGTAATAATATTTATATAGTAAATATATTGTTTACATAAATAGCTTACAAACGAGTTCAACTGGGAATTTTAATTAGTTATTACAACTTTTTCATTTTCTTTTTTTTTCGATTTTCCACTCAATTTTTCTCAAACTTTTGCCAATGTGTTTAAATAATAAATAATCATATGTCCAATAATAAACCAAAAATCTATTCAAATCGAATCAAAAAACCAGGAATAATACCAAAAGGAAAGAAAAAGCATTTAACTGAGCGGAAATTGTTCGTAAACGTTTAGCGTGCATTTTACCAAGGGCGAAAGCTTTTAATGTGCTTCGCATAAAAAGCTACAAAAAGCTTTGCTCAGCCAGCGATTAAAGCAATTGTGTGAAATGTGAAAGCTATTATATTCTGTGTGTGGGATATTGCCGCAGCAGAGGACAGCCGAGTTCATATCAATTTTGTTGCTCTGGCAAATCAAATTGTCGATTCATCATCGAATTAATCTCTTTAGCTGACCCATGCTGAAACCAATTTTGATTACCGATTTGTTTCAGTTGATTATTCTTTTGTTTTTTGTTTTCTTTTTTTTTATTTATTTAATTCAGTTATTTTTTGTGAATTTGTGTTGTTGTGTAATTTTAATTTCGGTTCATGCATTTAGACAGCCAATTTCTGTTTGTTTGTTTCTAGTATGCGTTTAGTTTCGTTTAAATAAGCTGTGTTTCTTCAAAGTGCTGTCATAAATGAGAAAAATATTGGAATTGAGTTATACAAGTAATGTGTAGAGAATCAGAACACTAGCTAAAAATATATTTTGAGTGAAACTGCAACTTTTCAAGTTTCCTGAAAGCAAAACATTAAAATGAAGTTCTTCAGAAAAAAAATTCCTGTTCTTGTTTTTACACTTCTGACAATACCTAAATTGATTTTTATAAAACTGAAACTAAAAAAACATTTTCTTCTTATGAGGCTTTTTTATTTATTTAAACGCTTTCGACTTTTTCTTATATAAATATATTAAGAATTTTAATATAAAATGTTGATCATTAAATCACTCTCCAATATTTTCTTCTTTGCTACTCTTAATTTTAACCGTTTGACAACATGGAGCTCCTCTCTATATTGGAAACAATTTTATTATTCAGAAATAAATTTATTGTGGCGTAAAGCTCTTATATTTTCTTCAAGAATCTCTCACTAAATATTAAGGATGTTCCTTTCATCAGCTGCCATATAACACCTCCTTTCTCCTTTCCTCTTCTCTCTCAATTGGCAAGTCTTTCTGCCCAATCACGATTTTATTTCAATTTTACTATATCGAGCTTTGGCGCAGCAGCTCATCAGCCCAGCAGCAGTCTTTATATAGGTATTCGTTTTCGGTTCCGTTTCGTTCCCTTCCTCACTTTTAAGTAGCTGCTCCTATTTCCTCATTGAGCACTCATAACCAAAAGCAAGCCTATACAATATTCTGCTGCGCTCTCTACTTATAATTTCTATTGTTTGTTTGTCCCAAAATTAACTTTAAGCGCTCTTTTGCTTCGTGATCTATACTCTCCTATAAATTAAAGATAAATCTGATTATACTAGTTTCTTTGTCAAAATTGGGAATCAACTGATCATATGAATACTTTTCTGCAAGTGACAAAATAATCGCTTATCGTAATGATCGATATATGTATTTCCTGCCGTTGTGCACTCGAAGAAACACAGCTTAAGGTTCTAAGAATGTTAAGTATTTTAGTTATATGTAATTCATTATCATGTGGTGTATATATATATGTATATTGTATTATTGTGATAATACTGGATGGAGATAGTTGTTCATTTATTTGGTAAGTTACGTTTTTTTATTGGCTTTGGAGTACTTACGAAGTTTTCATAGTAAAATGAACCAACCGTTTTAACATCCATCTTTTTGGCAATTGTGCACATTTATGATCATTATTATTATTGTTGTTATTATTATTATTGTTGTATATAGAATAGTTGTGATGATATTTATCCATTATGAACGCAATTCGGTATTAGTAATTGATTTTATTTGTTCATTTTGAATGATTGATTTGAATGATTCGCATTGTTGATTGATGCATTTGTAGTTGGTTGAATTTGATTTTTTGTTTTGATTTGGGTTAGCAGACATTTTTGTTGTAGTTGCAGTTGTTGTTTGTTGTTGTTGTCAATTGATTGTTTTTGATTTTTGTTTTTGTTTTGAATTGTTGGCAACAATTAACATAGAGAGAGCGAGACACAGAAAACAAAGGAAAGTCGAATCGAAAAAACAAACGAAGAAGAGAGAGAACACAAATGAAATTAGTGAATATATTCAGCATAAATATACAAAATACAAAAATGTTCATCAATAGATATTAGCGATAAGTTAAATATATACATACATATATGCATATATGTAAGTAAATACGTAGTCTAGCGTGATGTGAATGTGTGATAAATTAACCTAAATAATATAATACATACATGATACATACAAAATACATACAATTAGGCCAAGACTTAAGTTTTAAGTTACTTTTGATTTTTTTTTTTAGCAAAATGCGCAAAAGCCAAGCAAAGTTGTTCGCATGTAAAGCTAATTAACCTGGAAAAGCACTTAGGCACTTAAACAATTAAGCTCGACGGCTGCGGCTGCTATGTAGCTGCAGCTGTAAATAAAGAGCGGAAGAGCTGTCGAACCAATCGAATCAGCGCCTAGCCAAACAGTTCGTCATGCAGGCAAATGCGACTGAGTTGTTGGGGGAGGCTGGCCTGGGCGTGGGCGTGGGCGTGGGCTGGGTCAATTAACAGTTAAACCATTTTAATTAACACTTGCCCAGGTAGTCTGTAACTGTGCAGATGTATGGGTGTGTGTGTGTGTGTGTGTGTGTGTGTGTGTGTGTGTGTGTGCGTGTGTGTGATTGTGATTTATCATAGACAACCCCTAATTGATGCCACATGTGGCACGCAACGCTGATTGCAAGCTGAAGCTGTCGCTAGCAGCTCAACAAGGCAACACATGCATCTATCTGTATTGATAAATTGATTAGCCATATGCATTTGTCTCCATCAAAGTGTATGTGTGTGTGTGAGTGTGTGCGTGTTTGCTCTTTTGATATGCCTGATAATTACTTAGTTCTGCAAATTAAATGCTCGCCGACTAACTGACTGAAAGACTTGACTGACTTGCTGCTTGTAAACGCTAATTGATGGCTCTTCATAAGGCATGTGAAATTTGCGACTAAATAAGTGAATAAATGAGTGAATGAGTGAGTGAGTGAGTGAGTGGGTGAATGAATGAGTGTGTGTTGATGAGTGGGTGAGTTAATAGCTGAAAAGTTCACTTGAGTGCTTGCTTTATTGCAGTGGCAGCGCTAGGAAGTTGCAAATTCTGTTGCACTCAAATTTTACTATGCTCAATTTTGTGTAATACTTTTGGATTGTTTAAAAAAATAAGGAAATTATACTATATAATGTATATGATATTTTAAGCATTTAAACATATTAAACAAATATTTTTAAATTTAAATGAATATTAGAAAAATTAATAAACAACCTTCACAGCTTAGTCACAAGGCCCTAATCAATTTTTGTTCTTCAAAAAAAAAAAAAAAAAAAAAAAAAAAAAAAATTTTAGAGAGCTCTTGATTATGTTTTCTTGCGTCTATTAGTTGCATTTCTTAACTACAATATATATGAATTAAATCATTGAGCAATACTTTAATACATGTCTTTTATTTATTTTTTATTTATGATTGCATTTCGGACATTAAAAAAAATGTTTTGCTACAAGTTGCCTATGAAATTTTAATAAGAATTGCTGCAAAGTTTGAAGTAGTAGATTTTCTTAGACCGTTTCATTGGCCTGTCAATTTAAGAGTTTGATATATAAGACTTTTAATTGCTATCTAATCAATTGATGAATTTATAATTAAAATTCATAGTTGTAATGAGCTTGAAGTGGATCAGCTTTTCTTCTAATTTTATTCCTAATATTTACTAAATTAAAAATAAGAGATCTTTATTATCTGAATATTTTATTTTATTCATTTAAAAAATTATTTTTTTTTTTTTTATGAATTGTCACTAAATATTTATGTAAATATTTATGACATGAATTAAAAGCCAAGCAACTATTTCAATTGGCACTCTTTTTTTCAGCTTAGCTCTTTAGAGCTGCCCTAGGTATGTATATATTTTTGTAGCGCGCACTCGCAGCTTAAAATCATGCGATAGGAAACAAAGTACACTTAACTAAATCAATTAAATAAAAAAACACGCAGGAAATTAAACAGTAACAGTAATTAAAATCAGAAATCAGAAATGGAACGCAAGGCAACAGAATGAGAAACAGAAACGGAAACGGAAACAGAAATAGAAACAGAAACGGAAACAGAAACAATATATAAAGGAAAAGAACAGAGAGTTGTGAAAGAAATTAAACAAAATACCAGTGGAAACATTTCAGGATCCGCTGACCGCTTCTTGCCCACTTCCAGTGTGTGATGACCCATAACAGCGGCGGCAGCGGCGGCGGCGGCAGCAGCAGCGGCAGCGGCAGCGTTGTTTGTTGTTGTTGTTGCTGTTGGTGTTGTTGTTGTTGCGCCAGCAGCGACGCCGCCGGCCGTGTGGATGGTGTTGTTGTTGTTGTTGTTGCTGTTGCTATTGTTGCTGTTGTGGAGGTGGTTCTGCAGTTGTTGCTGATGTTGATTTAGTTGTTGGTGTGCCGTAAGAGGTGAGCTCTGTGTTGCGTGAGTGTGTGTGTGTGCGAGTGTGTGTGTGTATGTGTGTGTGTCAATTGAAGTGCATATATTTCAAATTATAATCAACATAATTATGCCAAAAATCAATTTAAAAAAATTGAATATAGAATAAAATTTTGATCAAGCATTTAAATTATGCGCTCATTAAATATGAATAAATTCCATTTGAATTATTCAAGCAGCATTGGTGTTGGCATTTTTAATAAATATGCACAATTATTTCATTTTTTTTTTGTATTTATTTTTTGTTTTTGCATTTTTTGAATAGTTTCAACGAATATTTTATTTGTTTATTTTATTTTGGCATTGTGCATGTGTATGTATGAGTGTGTGTGTGTGTGTAGAGATACCATCCATCGTAGAAGCAATTACAGTGTGTGGCACAGGCGAACAGATGAAATACATAATAGTAGAAGAGTACGAGTGTTTTTTTGTTGATAAGTAAAAATTATAGTTAAAAAGAAAAAAACAATAAAATCAAATAGAATCTTTGTTTTCAGAAATATATAGTAGAATATAGTTGAGGCTAACTTAAATTTCAATTCAAAATCAGAAATTTTCCAATTTAAAGAAAATTCTTAAATTAAATATGGAAAAGGAACTAATTGTTGAAACATTTTTCAATAATAAATATATATATAAATCCATTTTGTTAATTAAGCAGAGTTAATAAAAAGCTCAGAAGCATATCGTTATAATCATTTATAAATATAATTTTTGATGTTAGAGCCTGCATAAGCCAGCAGCAAAAGCTTTAATTGTTTTTGTTGAAGAAACCCAGAGCACTTGGTGATATTGTGAATACATTTATAAATACCTAGTTATATGAGCTTAAGAGTTACCTTAAAAATAAATAAATATATATAGAATCAATTGCAACAAAATCATTTCGCTGTAAGCCAATATATATTTTGATAAAGGTTTGTTATAATTCCATTATGAATTGTTTGCTAACAAAAATTGATTTGAGTACAAACACACACACATTCGCATTGAGACGCGCTGGAAGAGTATCCAAAATTACCTAATGCCGATATACCTACCGATGTATCGTTGCTGCTGCTGCTGCTTTAACTGATTCTCAACTAAAAACCATAAATAAATACTAAGGAAACTAAAGCAGAGAAATAAACGAAATGTGGTAGAAATTTGTTGTAGAGTGAAGCCCCTAGAGATCTCAGAGTTAATTCGCTTAACACCGTCATTTACACAGCAGCTCGACAACATTTGGGTGCGCGTTTGGGTTTTTATTTTTTTTAGTCCTAGTGCCTAATAAACAAAACACACAGCAAAATGTATAAAACATAACGCAAGTTAACATGCTTTTTGGGGCTAGCACACACACACTCGACTGCTGCTCGACACGAAAAGTGCAAAAAAATTTGCATTTAAATGGACTCGCAGCGGCAGAGGTTTTCACGAATTTCTTGTTGTTGCTGTTGTTGTTGGTTTGGAGCATGTTTTCCGAGAGTGTGTGTGTGTTTTTTTTCTATTCTTTTTTTTTTTTAGTATTTTTTGCTAGGCATACGTAGCTCAGGTTGTGCCACTCGCTTTTTCAGCTGCCTTTGCCGAGAACTGTTTTATGTCACCGCCAATGAATGCTATAAATGGATTAATTCGCTTGGGCAAGGCGATATGTGGTCTGGCCTATGAGTGTGATATCTGTGTGTGTGTCTGTGTGAGTGCCGTGTTTGCCGTGTGTATATATATTGTTGTTTTTTGAGGTCAAAAGCGAATGTGCTGAAGAAAAAAGTGAAGACAGACAGACTAAAGCGCATAGTGAATGCTCTTCAAGCATCGTTGTTGACCATACTTTATATAAGATCAAAGTGAATGCTGTTGAATATTCGCGATCATATCAGATTTTTTTTTCATATTTTTTATTAATTATAGATTTTTTTTATGGAAGTTCTATAACTTCTATTTAAACAACTTTCTTTTCTATTCCAACATAATTTTTTAATTTTAATTTAAATGTGTAGAGGCTTTCGTATAGCTTTATGATTGCTTCCACTCTATTTTCTCATTATTCTACATAATTGAAACTAGGCTTAGCTACCCTGTAATATAACAACCCCTTAATTGCAAATTTATAAGGCAAATTAATTATTAAATTATTAATTGTAAATTAATTCTGGATTCTAGATCTCAACTCTACAGCTGAAACAATCTCTTTAACATATATATCATATTATATCTCACTGCCAACTCGCTCTCGTAACCAATATACCCCACATATGCTCGATAGGCAGGCAGGCTGGCAGGCGGGCAGCATTGCAGCTGGACAATTCATTGGCATGGAAATCTCTGCTTTTAGTTAATTTTCCGGTTCAAACGTTATCCTGCCGACTAATCCGTGTCGTCGTTCAGTGCGTCCTGCCAGCAGCCAGGCACAGGTTGACATTTACATTTTTGGTCAGGACAGACAAAAAAAGAGAAGAAGAACAAGAAGAAGAGAGGGCAGCACAAATGAAGCCTCACAGCGGGTCATGTCCTGCAGCCTGCTGGCAGCTACATACTTTTTTTTTGTTATAGCTGCTGTTCCCGTGTCACGCTTACATGAGGATTATAGTTTGGGGTTGGCTCACTGCAGGACACTGGCAGCAGGCAGCACAGGCAGGATGCGGAGCACTGTTCGAACTGTAGCTTTGATTCGACAGTTGACATATTTCGGGCATGCCCCGGGCCTCTTGAAATATACGGCTAATTTTTTTGCGTTGTTATGCGGAGCAGGCGAAGTTGTTGTTGTTGTTTTTGTTTTGCTGTCCGCTTTTATTGGGGTCATATGCATGTTCAGGGTACAGGGACAGTAAAAATACTTAAAATGTAAATAAAAACAGATTAAATAATATTAATAAATAACATTTTGCTTAACGCAACCAAATAAAATGTACAAAAATATACATCTACATATACATATGTATATATTCTTGTGGCTGGGGCAGTTTGGGCTCGCGGGGCGTATGCGTAATGCGTGTTTCAGTTTTCATTATGTATTCGATGTTCATGTTGTTGCTATGTTTGTGTGTGTGTGTGTGTAAAGTAACAACATTTAATAAAAGATTTAGGTATAAATACGAGTATATAGTAAGGCATAAAATAAGTTATTTTTCTTGAGCTTGGGTTTGGGGTTCTGCACATTAAAGTTGAGGACTGAGCGGACTCGAGTGGAAATGAAAAATGATCTCGTTTTGGTTTTACGATTAAATATATTTGAATTATTTTCCACTCAAGTGCCGGCAACATGCATCAATAACCCCAATACATTTGGTTTATATATACATAGAATTATATATGATTTGAGTACATTTAGATAGTCTAGGCAGAGTTTCTAAAGAGGGGTACGGGTACGGGTAGACACACAAAAAGAGGGAAACAAATAAAAGCTTAAAATGTATATATATATTTTAATATTTTAAGTAGCATGTAGACCATTATGAGTTACAGCTAGCTGGGGCGGGGAATTATACATATAAATCTAGGGAGTTTCTTTTTGTATATAGATTATAATGTAACTTGATGAATATGGAGGAAAAAGTATTTTATTTTATAGATAATTTAGAGCAGCGCTGCATCGACGAGATAATCGGTTAGTTTTTATGAGGAGCTCCGATACGAGCAACAGAAACAGTTTAAGAAATTTCGAAAATTTTGAGTATTTGAGTATGAATTTGGATAGATTTTGTTGCAGTATCTAAGCAAGATTTATAAAAGAAAATAAGAAAGAGACAACGATAGAGAGTATGAGAATTATAATCTAAGGGGTATATGATGAGAGATGTATATATATGTATATATAATATATCTAATAATATACACTCGTATATTTATGAAACTAATTGCTAATATATAATTAATTAGCTACAGGCTATAAGCACGACCAGGGCCATATTTAACGAGCCATTTAATAATAATTACCAAAATTGGCATTTTTATATGCATTTAAAACGTTCAGAGCAGGTGCAACAGCAGATACCCCAAACACACACACACACACACATATATATTCTCTTATACATATATATAAATTCTTTTTGGCTGAAGCTCATAATCATATTAAGCCTGCGCCCATAAATAAAATTATGCGCTGCTCTGCTTAAATGCGTATGGGAGTGAAAGAGACAGAGACTGAGATAAAACGAGCTGGCAACAAGGCCTCTGTGTGTGTGTGTGTGTGCGTGTTGATGCAATTTCAAAGGACAATTTGATACAATAATCACGTTTGTCGTGCCTGGTCTGGGGCTCGATTGAATTACGCCTAAAATGCTGCAACAATTTTTCACTTTATGCGATATTATGCTGCAATTATGTGTGTCATGTTTGGAGCTGACAATGTGGACGCAGTGGGGGCCGAACAGCCAGCAGAAGGAGCCCGGCTAGAGACACGACATTTATGTTGTTGTTGTTGTTGCTGTTGCGCAGCGTCAAATAAATTTTCAGCCAAAAGCAATTAAGTCGCGAATTAAGTGCGGCGCATAGGCAGGACCCCATGGACGAGGCAGGACCAGAGCAAACACACAGAGAGAGAGAGGGAGAGAGCAGCACATGTGTGAGTTGGGCAATCACGAACGTGCGCCCACGTGTGCCTGTGTGTGTGTGTGTGTGTGTTTTGGCTGGCTGACTGCTGCGTGCTCAAAGTTTTAACGCGTTGTAATAAATGTTAATTTTCCCCAACGAAAATCAACATTTATGGCGTGTTTTATGTGCAGCTTCAACATATTTTCCATGTTGTTGAATGCCAATCCCTGTCAGTTGCTGTCTCACTCTCTCTCTCTCTACCTCTCTCTTTGTCTGTGTGTGCTTGCGGGATTATGAGCTTGGCACACACACACAAACAATGTTTAGTGTTGTGCGTGTGTGCTATTATTTTCTTGCGTAAAGTCAAATTGTTTAAAATGTAATTTTTGCCGCTCTTTTGTTGCATTTCATTTATTTATTTATTGAACATCTTACGTAAATGTGCGCTTAAATGCCTACTAAACGGCCGAGTGTATATCTAAGTTAAAAATTGATTTAGCATCCTCTGTACTTCAACCCACTTGAAGCATGATGCTAAACTCGAAACTTTTCATTTGAATAGTTGCCGAAACTTAATGCACAAATTCTGTTGATGGCAAAACTTTGCAATTATTTTAAACTGAAAGTTAGGGCAAACCGAATTTAACACCGCCCAAATGAGTTTTTAATTAAGCATTAAACTCTGTATTATGAAATTTATGCACTTGATTAAATTTGAATTACAACTGCAAATTACACACGCAATAATTTTTCCAATTTCAATTCCGAGTGTGGGCTAAATCAAATATCATAATTTATATTATATTTATTTATCTGCTTGTTTGCTCTTTTTTCCCCATATCTCTGTGGCTGTGTCTGTGTGTGGGTGCGTGTGTTTGTGTGTAAATTTGCAGTTATTTATTTGCTGTTGTGCTTAGGTTTGCATAAAGTTAATTAAATCGTTTACATGCAGCATTAGGTTTTCATCGAATTTTGCTCTCAATAAACACTAGGGCTAATGGGTATATATGGCTATGGCATGCAGTTAACATTGGGCTAACAGCTGTTTAACAGCATCAGAGTTTCGCAGTCTCTATTCAAAGCAAATTTTCCATGAAAACTTAAATTCTACAACTATTTTGTCTATATTTGGTATATATTTATATAGATATATATAGTTCTAGGAGATAAAAGAGTACAAAAAATTGTTTGCATACTTTGTGTTGTGTGAAAGTTTCTTAGTGCGGGTAGTAAAAGTGTTTCGTTTGGTTTATCTTTGTTGAAGTGAAACACAAAATATTATGGATTGCTCTATTAAGCAACAAAGTGACGAAAATTAATAAGTTTTCCAAGAAAAATTTACTTGAATAAGCTGAAATTAATAGCAGAAACTGGAGCAGCTGGCGCAAAAATAAGAAAATATAAAAAAAAAAAAATAAATAAATTTTGCGACTCATAAAGAAAATGCAAAAAAAACATTTTGCTGTCTCTCTATCACTCTCACGCTCTGAGTGTGTCTGTGTGAGAGAGACAGCAATGGTATGGGGTTAGGCTGTTGGTTAGCTGGAGGATTGGCTTGTGGGCTGGGCTGGGCTGGGCTGGGCGATTAGGATTTTTTCTTTGTATTACTATTGTAATTTGTTGTAAAGAAAGAGAAAGTATAAAAAGTAAATATAGAAATAGCCATACCGCAGCTGCAGCAGCGACAGCGGTGGCGCGTGTTTGGGCCGCTTTTAATTGTGCCTGTAGGTGCAGGGGGGGATGAAAGTAGCGGCAGGGGTCACGTGCGCATCTGCCCTTCACGGCGTCCATGCAAACCGTTATGGAACCATCGTCGTGCCGCGCGACGCTCTCCTGCGGATGCGCGAACCGGCATTCCGACTCGGCCCGTTTGCAGGCGCCGCGCAAGAATTCGCGACAGACCTGGAAACACATTTTTAGGATTTGTTTTGTTTTTTTGTTTTTTTTTTTTTTGGATTTTGGATTTTGTTGTTTTTGTTTTGGATACGGCGTTGTATTTTGGATAGTTGTTGTTGTTGTTCAGGTGGTTCATGTTGTTTGTTGTTGTTGTTGTTGTTGTGTTGGTTGCACAGTTGATTGCAGTTTGCGGATTGCAGATTGTTTGTTGTAGTAGTTGGTTGTTGTTGTTGGTTGTTGGTTGTTGGTTGTTGTTGGCGGGCAGCAATAGCAAAAGTGGCAGCAGTTGTGGTTCAGAGTGTTGACGTGTGTGTGTGTGTGTGTACAAAAGGCGAAGTGTTGTTGTTTATATTTTGCATATATTGTGTGTGTGTGGTGTAGTGTGGTGTGTGTGGTGTGTGTGTGTATTGGAAATAATGGAAGGATATTCAGTAACTGTTCAGTTTGTAAATTGTTGTTTTTGTTGTTGTTTACTTGAAAAGTAAAGTTAAGTAGGCGAAACGCAACAACTTTCAATGCATTTTCATTTGATTCTTTTTGGGTGTTAGAGCCGATTTCTTGTTGTTGTTGTAATTGGTTTTGCTGCGCATGCTTCCATATGCATGTAGTATATATGTTAAGTATATAGATCGATACATACACATAGTATATATGCTAGGGTATTTTTGTTTTAGCCCAATTTTGGAGATTGGACAGCAGATTTGGCGTGGACTAACTTTCATTTCAGTTAAGTCCGCACCATACTTGGTTATTTTAGAGCGAGCCGATTAGTTTGGTTTTTGTCAGTTTTGCACTTGAGAACAACAGAGGAACACAAAAATCGAAAGTAAAAAACAAACAAGGCAAATGCAGGGATTAGGAGTAAACACATTAAAAGCTACAACCTGTAGAGGATCGATAAACAGAACTGAAGTAGATCATCCTAATGGGAAAGGTATGGAATAATAAACTAATTCATCTATGGAACTCTTTAACTTTAACATTTGCTATCGGATGAGAAACAAAATAGAACCATGTATATATTCTAAAGCTAGCCTAATCAACGGGCTAAGAAAAGTCTAGGAATATGTTAATTTTAAAACAATGTTAACTTACATTGCAGTTAACATAAAGTCTAGCTATAAAAAATTAATATATGTTTCAAATAAAGTAATGAATAAATTTTCTATATCTAGCTAACTGAGTTTGAAAAGATCAGAAATAAATTAAATGGATTTACTCATATTTTAAACAAATAAAATTTTAGCTATTCAAAAACTTATGCCAGCTAGGAATAGGAAACAAAAATGATGTATTATTGGTAAAAGGATTTGTGCACAGAATTGTAAATTTATATATTTTATTGTTGGTTGGTTTTTCTTGCTTTATATACATATGCACTGGGAAGAAAATATATGTTTTGAAAGCGCTTGTCGTAAGCTTGGCAGGGTAGCAGCTGCTTGTCTTAAGCGCTTCTCTTCTTTGACGCTTAATATAACCAAAAACTGTGCCACACTTCCGGCACCTGAGAGAAATATTACCGAAACCAAAACAAAATAGACATGGTACTATATAGCGTATATAGATATATCATATATGTCAAAATCAAAATGAAAAGTATTACATCAGACATAAGAATAAGTAGAACGATCTTCTTTTTTGTTAGACAAAAGTTCAAGTCTTCAAATACGAATGTGTGTCAACGAGATCAAATCAATTTTTATTATCAACGAATTGTTAATGATTATTGTTTCGTTATAATTTCATATAATTATCATTTTCATTTTGGCAGAACTGAAGAGAACTTAAAACACTGTACATTGTTTTTAGTTGCAATATCTTTGATACATAGTTACAAATATTAGGTCTTATAAGAAGAAATACATAATAATAATTGTAAGAATAATAAATGATAAGTAAATAAAGAACTCAACAAATTGGCATGCGAATAAAAACTATAATGAAAACAAGTCCAAAGAAAATCGTTTCTCTTGGCGTTTTGTTTGTCATTGTGTGTACGAAATTAATACGATAAAACGATAAACGATAAACGTAAACGATAAACGTAAGCGTAAATTAAAGCACAATTCACATATAAATGCTTCATATCATTGGCCTCTATTGCAGTCAATAGTCAATGAATACAAATTGATAGAAGGCAACAACTGTCACTCACCTCTAATCTGTCGGAGCGTGGAATTTTCTGTTGGGCCACTTGCACGGTCTGTGGCACCACCGGGCCCAGCTGTGAGGCGACGGCCGTCGGATCGGGTCCCAGCAAAGTAGGCACTAGGTGTCCGGTTGCATAGTAAGGACTGTATGTATTGGCTGGTATGCCAGTCAAGTAGGGATTTGCGGCCTGTGCACAAAAAATAGAAAAACATAAGAGAATCACATATTTGATACATCATGTCAATGGCCTATCTAACTATCAATCAATCAATCAATCAATCAGCTGTTAATCACTCAAAACAACGTCTTAGGGAGTCCATTATGGCCTGCCATGAATGCAATTGGAACCTTATAAAAAGCTTTCAGCAGTATTTAATCTACTCCTGAAAGGAAGTTCTAATCCTAGAAAGTGCTAGAGGCTTTTATGTTTAATGAGTTGATTTAATATGAAATAATACACTTTTATTGTAAGAATAATGCTTCTTCTATTTATGTAATCGTAATCTTCATCCTTTCTCTTTCTCTTGCTCTCTCACTGTCTTTATCTGTTTACTATAATATTAAGATGAACCTCAAATTTTATTATTTACTTTGTTGATTAAAGATTCTTCTCTTGCTTGTGCTGTAGCTTTAGAATTAGATTGAGCTTAGCTCATATCAAAGATTAAGATTAAGATTGAGTATTTCTGGATCAAATATTGACTTGATTCAAGATGATTTAATCAAAGCTTTAATTCAAAGAAGTTTAAAACTAGCGACAACTGCTGTGCTTGGTAAGAATAATCAGAGGATTAATGTACAAATGAAAATGGAAAGACTTTTAAATATCGTCAAAATACTAGGTAGAAGTTATCAAAGAAATTGAAATTGAAATATATTTCATTCGATTATGAGCTTTCATATGAAATTTAGTAATGAGACTTAGTTTCATGGCCAATACTTTAACATTACCAATTACTATATTGCCCTTAAGCATTTATAACTCAAAGCTATGAATCACATGCATTTCCTTTGTTAACTAAAATCCTAAAAAGTTTTTCTTTACTACAACTTTCCGACTCTCTCCCCTTCTTCAAATTTAATGCCAATTTAATTTAATATTTCCACCTCAATCCCACATCATTCCCACGCATGCTTACGATTTACAGCAAGTGTTGCTGAATTTGAAATGAGATTTCGTGTCAGGCGGAGCTATCGCAGTGTGTCTTATGACAGCTAAGCGTTTAGTCCACTTAAGTTTTGTAGCACCCGCCCACCTATTGCTCCGGCACGTTAATGAAGCCTCATGCATTTTTCAGCACTAATTTCAATGTCGAACAACGAACGGCGTTTGCGGCTAATGGTCGCTGGCATTTAGGAGGCCATTTCAAGAAGCAAAAGGAAAAAGCAGCCATGTTTGAAAATAATTTGAGAATTAAATTTCGATTTGTTAGAATATTGCGGCGTAAAAGAGAAAAAGTGGCGAGCCCTGCTGCTTCCTCTGCTGCTGCCCCATTGGCATGAATAATGCATGCGCCCGGACGAACCGGGCAAAAACTGACTCGAATTTCTTCTATAAGTATATTATATGTTCTGTCTCTTCATCTCGCCCTCTCTACCGCCCTCACTTCGGGTGCTACTCATTTTGGCGCATTCAACATTTTCGGACAGGGGCGACGGACACGATTCGGTGTTATTCAAAGTCATGCAGCAGGGCGCGGGCAAGTGGAAATTGAAGTGGGATATCCGCTTATAAATATTCATATAGCACAAATTTGTTAGTCGCCTGTCGCTGGTGCGCGGGGTCACAGTTTGCCAGCGCTTAGGATATTCAATTAAAGTATTATGCGGCTTTTCGGGCAGCGGACAGTGGGCGTGTACTTACCACGGCTGGCACTTGGCCCGATATGACCTGCTGGCCGGGCGCCATGCCCATTTGTTGCATCAGTGCATTCTTGAGTGCCAGATGATTGCGTCCGTTTATCAACAGCTGATCCTTCAGATGCTGTGGTGGATGAAAGTATTTGCACGGCGGTTTGTCACGATTACAACGACCCTGGAAATAGTTGGGAATTTCTGTTTAGATTTCATGTTTCTAAAATGTTTAAAAATTGTTTACTTATAATACAAATATGATATAAAAAGTTTATAAATAGTTCATGAAATTTCTCATAAAACAATATTATTTTCGTTGCTCAGTTTTACTTTAGTCGTGACGTCAATAATGCGAATGCTTCACGCTTCACTTTCTAACCTAAATTTATGTTGGCGCGCATAAATTATGCGCAACAGTGTTGAATAACGTTCGCATGAATTGCCAGTCGAAGGGCTTACCTTAATGATGCATTCAAGTGTATTTTCAATGTAATTTATTAAATCACGATAAAGCTTTGATCTCTTAAGGTTAATTTATTTCAGAGCTAACATACAAAGTAGACATAAAAGTAGACATAAAAGAATAGCAGCAGAAGCCTGGTGGCCCATATAGGTATAATAAATTAGAGGTCTGCTTCTAATAAATCGAACGTATTAAAAATAAAAATTATATTTAAATATTTATATTAGAAATATATTGAAATATAAATATTAAAAATATATAAATTATATTATTAATATATTTAAATATAAATATTATAAATATATAAATTATATTTTTATTTATTAATAATAAGCAAACATCTTTTGTATGCATAAATACATAATTATCTGAATAAAAAGAAACTTTGATTTTCCGCTAATATTTTAATAACATTGTATAAAATATCAGTGCCCCACAAATACAATCAAACCTTTTAGACATATGTTTGATCCATAGCGGAAATCTGATTGATTCAATGCAGTCAAAATGACGCATTGCTGTCGTGCTGTCATGTCATAATTCCGAATATGAAAATTCACTCACTCAAAAAGGGAAAAGGGAGACAGAAAAACAATTAACTGCACGTAATGTGAAAATGTTGACTGCTGCAGATATGCAATCAAGCTGCACACACGAAAAAAAAAAAAGAACGAACAACAGTAAAAATGTAAAAAAGCCAAACAAACCTCATATTAAATCGATAAAAAGTAATTTCGCATCATTAGCAGGTGTAATTATGGCCACGGATTAAGCCGCCGAATCATCAAGTGCCTTTGCATACGTTGTTTTTTTTCTGTGTTCTCTCTTTTTTGTTTTTGTTTTTCTGTACTTTTTTGAGTGGTGGCCTAAATGTCAACAATAATTATAATGAGTTCGGGCTAATGCCCCAGGGCAGTCGGCTGCATGCGACGTGGCATGTAGAAAAAAGATTTAATACAATTTCAGCGAGTGTTCGTGTGTGTGTGTGCGTGTGTGTGTGGCGAATTGGGTGCGCAGACTGTCAAACAAATATGCATGTAAATTATATTTAATTCAGAGCAAATGAAGTTAACAAATATTTACACATGCCCAGGCGAAGTGGAGCTGCTCCCGCCCCCGCCTACGCCCATGGCCGAGTCCTTTGTCCGCAAAAAAAGGAGAGTAAAAAGGAAGCGAAAAGCATGCAAAATATTTATATGTATGCATAAATTGATTGTTTGCCTGGGCTCGAAACAGGAGCACGTAGTTCACAATTTTCACTTTTATTTTGTATTTTTTGTTCCCTCTTCTTTTTGTTGGCATTCACAATTTATGACGCAATGAAAGCTCTGCAAGATTTATGGCGTGAACAAAATAAAACACAGTGAGGAACGGAGAGGGAGAGAGAGAGAGAGCGAGAAAACTCTCTCCCAGCCGCTAACTTGCATATAATTGTTGTTCAAAAAAATTGTTCACTCCGTGCACACACACACACACACGCACACATATATACAAAATTTTATTCACTGTTGATGTTATTTGGCAAATAACACGAATTGCAAAAATACTTGCACAAATATTTGTTTGCATATTTCTCAATGCCAATTCAGCTTGACAAATGCTGGGCGAATGCATAAAAAAATATGTAGCAAAAACAGTCGATTGACAATCGATCGACTGGCAGATACCCTGTAGAACAGTGGGTGATTCAATGATATCGATTAGATATATATAAATGAAATTGATAAGTACTATAAATATTGTTTATATTCTAATTTTCCCATAAAAATTCTTTCAGTTTCCGATGGAAAGAAAATTATATAAACTTAAATTAAATTATATTTGAATAATCCTTCTCTCCCGCTCTCTCTCTCTATCTCTATCTCTTTCTCTCTCTCTCTCTCTCTCTCTCTCTCTCTCTCTCTCTCTCT